CATAAATTAGGTCCAAATAATATTTTCTCCTCAAATTAAGTCCAAATAATATTTTCTTTCCTCACCATCCTTGTGTTGCTGTTGCTTTAAATCGGCGTCTAATTTGAAATTACATCTGTGTCCCTGATATAGGATACGAAGTCCCTGATATAGGATACGAAATATAAAAAGAAAAATCACCAATAAATTTTATGCCTTATTTTTTTTATAATTTATTCACAACAAAATCCAAAACTACATCAATAATTTAAAATATTNTGTGTGACGTAAGCCATTCGGCTGTCATGAGACATTGACGTCAACCAAACTATTCATGACCGACTAATGTTACTTAGAATTTATTTGGAGATCGTGAATTTAATATAATTATTAGATTATTTATAAGTTTCAATGCTAAATAGAGCTCACAATCAATCTAATGGTTGTATTGAATTAGGTTCATAAATTAGGTCAAAATAATATTTTCTCCTCAAATTAGGTCCAAATAATATTTTCTTTCGTGACCATCCTTGTGTTGCTGTTGCTTTAAATCGGCGTCTAATTTGAAATTACATCTGTGTCCCTGATATAGGATACGAGATATAAAAAGAAAAATCACCAATAAATTTTATGCCTTATTTTTTATAATTTATTCACAACAAAATCCAAAACTACATCAATAATTTAAAATATTTTTTTTTGTATGTTTAGTAAGTTGAAATATTACATAATTTATAGAAAAAATGCAACAATGATTTATATTGAAGATTAGAAGTATTATTACAATGATAATATAAATTAATCATACAATTATTGGCAAAACAATAAATTATATTTTATGAGGAGGGTAAAATTAGAACAAAATGTATCATTGATAGAATTTAGTACTTTTTTTTAAATAAATTGTTAAAAATAGAATTTATTTGTCTAAATAAGATTTAATGGTTTCTTTTTGTGAAAAAATAGGACTTATTGATAATTTTTTTTATGTTTTTAGTCCAACGAAAACATGACAATAGAAAGTCATTATATTATATTATATAATTTATTATTCTATCTAAGAAAAAAGGTTTCAATATCCTTAAGCACTAAATCCTTAATTCTAAATCCTAGAAAAAGAGGTCTCAATGGTAATTGACAAATTCAAACCCAATATGGAAAAAGTTTTGATGCTATAAAAAAATGTGAAAATTACTTGCAAACTATTATTGGGAGCTGAAAAATGAATCACTATGCAAAACAATAACACACACACAAAAAAAATGAATTAATAAGGATAGATAAGGATAAGGAACAAAATTTCAACAATAGTTTTCAATGGTAAAATTACGAATAAAACCTTATTTTTGTCAATTTCTTCTAATTAAGCTTTCATCTTGAAGTACATAGTCATATTCTTCACTCTCGTATTCGTAATATTAATAGTGGAGAATTGTCTATCTTAAGTTCAACATTTTTTATTTTTTGTTTAGTTAATAAGGGGGCATTTTTGTCTCTCACATACTTGACTAATCAAGCTTAATTTTCCATATAACATGTGTTTGTCGATGGTTTCACTCGTCAAAAAATGTAAGAATAAATTTATATTTTGACTATTGAAAAAGGAAATGTTTTTTTTTTAATTTCTAAAAAGCACAAGCTTCTCATTTTTCACATTTGAATCATTATCCAACTAGAGCAAAGTAAGGAGGTAGAAGTGTATTTTATCCAATTCTCCTCATTCATCGCTGTTCCATTGAACCTTTTACATAATTCACGAATCTATTTTTTGACCATTTGGAATCTATTTTTTGACCATGTGGAGTTTAATATATAAATATTGAGTGTAACCGTTATATTATGTCAATATTGTTGATATGATGTAATTATCTAATACAAAAATAACAAAAATGATAAAATATGGTTTATTTCTTGTAATGAAGGTGGTTATGTAATACATAGATGTGTAATTATAAGTTTTAGTAGGCTCCATTTGTTAATTTGTTTATTAATTAGTGAACGATTACACCACGTGACATTGCTAACATGGTGTAATGAATACACCCAATAGTTTTTCCCTTAAGTTAATTTGGAAGATTTAAGTTCCTAATTTTATTATTTCATTCCTCTACTTATTTTGAGATAAAAATTATCTAGGGATATGTAAGCTATTCCGGTTATATTTTTTTAAGAGATACCTAAGAGTATCTCTAACCCACTCTCCATTTCTTCTCTTTTAATTATTTTAACTAGTCACTATTCTATTTCACCAAAGTGACTCTCCAAATGTGGAGAGTCATTTAGTCTCTCTAAATTCTCTTTCTACTTCTTTCTTTATCGCTCTCAATATATATATATATGATGTATTCCTTTTAAATTGTTGAAAATTAGTGAATTAGTTAGTTAAAATAAAGAGTGTAATATTTAAATATATGTTGGCTAACTTCTATTTTGAAAACCTGGGTAGAAAATGCTGTAATGAGATTAAAGTTACCCCATCGCTTAATGCATAGAAAAAGATATACGATTATTTATGATAATTAGAATAAATTAAATTAATTAGAAATATTTAAACAATAGTAAAACCGAAAGAGAGAAGAAATAGCTTTCGAGCATCCATTTATCTAAGCCAATGCTTACTGTTGTAACGACATGGCCGCCGGGCAGTCTGGTTTGTGCCCGGCATTTATCAGTCAACACATACAAGTCCAATAATTCTCCATAAGGCTTGTGTGAATTTAATAAAAAATTGATGGAAAAATTAATGAGTTTGGCAATAAATGCATAAATCAATTAAATCCTTCAAGTAAATTAATTGGTCTATTTTTTATTTATGAAAATAGTTATGTATTATATAGTTAGGTAATTATAAATTTTAACCAGACTCATTTGTAAAATTATTTATTTATTAACAAACGGTTACAATACATAATGTGACGTGATTTAAGGATAACATCTAATTTTTTTATTTTTTGTTTTTTAAACCCCACACCGACAAAATGCCCCAACACCGACACATGTTCACAACTCTCAAACAAATTAGCGCGTACAACAACAGTGACGCAGTTTTGGTGGTAAAAAAAAAAAGTTTCTACTTCTGTCATTTGCGTTGTGTTTAACTTCAAAGACCGATCACAGCCTTTGGCGGCTTTTGTAATTTCATTACAAAAAGATTATTATTTGATAGACAATGTTTAGATTTATAATAATTATTCTTGTGAATTTAACCATCGATTTAGAGCATATTCCTTAAGAATAAGAGTTGTAAGGGGTAGAACTCTCTATTAAGGATTTCGGCTTGACCTGGGTTAACCCACGCGGGCGACCCCCCAGTAACCCTTACCTCTCTTCGCCAATAGTACCTTTTCCTAAGGCAATCCCACATCGGAAGAGAGTCGTCTCCTCCCTGCCATATAAGTGNTATTATTTGATAGACAATGTTTAGATTTATAAAAATTATTCTTGTGAATTTAACCATCGATTTAGAGCATATTCCTTAAGAATAAGAGTGATTAACCATTTAGAGAGCGGAGAAAAAAAATTAAACTTTAGATGAAATTATTATAAACTAATTTAACCACTTAACCCAGCCGAAGAATTAAAAAGAGAAGTCTATTACTTAACCAATGATGTGGAATATATATAGTATCTTCTCCTTATGCANCACTTTGGCAAGGGGGAGACGACTCTCTTCCGATGTGGGATTGCCTTAGGAAAAGGTCCTATTGGCGAAGAGAGGTAAAGGCTACTGGGGGGTCGCCCGCGTGGGTTAACCCAGGTCAAGCCGAAATCCTGAGTGGAGGGTTCTACCCCTTACAAAAAGGCGCCTTTTTGTAAGGGGTAGAACCCTCCACTCAGGATTTCGGCTTGACCTGGGTTAACCCACGCGGGCGACCCCCCAGTAGCCTTTACCTCTCTTCGCCAATAGGACCTTTTCCTAAGGCAATCCCACATCGGAAGAGAGTCGTCTCCTCCCTGCCATATAAGTGAACACTTTGGCAGGGGGAGACGACTCTCTTCCGATGTGGGATTGCCTTAGGAAAGAGTCCTATTGGCGAAGAGAGGTACACTTTGGCAAGGGGGAGACGACTCTCTTCCGATGTGGGATTGCCTTAGGAAAAGGTCCTATTGGCGAAGAGAGGTAAAGACTACTGGGGGGTCGCCCGCGTGGGTTAACCCAGGTCAAGCCAAAATCCTTAGTAGAGGGTTCTACTCCTTACAAGAGTGATTAACCATTTAGAGAGCGGAGAAAAAAATTAAACTTTAGATGGAATTATTATAAACTAGATTTAACCACTTAACCCAGCCGAAGAATTAAAAAGAGAAGTCTATTACTTAACCAATGATGTGGAATATATATAGTATCTTCTCCTTCTGCATAGTTCTGTCCGCCGTCCATTCATTTTTCTTTTATATTTCATCTCTCGCTCCGCCTTCCTCGAGTCTTCTCCACCAGGAAAAACTGAGAAGACGCAGAGGGAAAAAGTCTAATTTTTTTGGGGTTTTTTTTATCCCTTAGTTTTGATCGGCGTTGACATTGGTATTGTGGGTAAGTTTCATAGGACAAATTGGAGATTAAGATTTGTTGGGTTCGTAAATTTTGGCTGATTTCATGCTCCAATTGTGTTCACTCCATTTTGGTTTCAAACAGATCTGAAGTTTCTTGTCAATTTCAACTCTCAGTCCACCAAATTGGTGCATTTTTGGCATTTCAACCCGTCCGGCGATCTCTCCGGACTTTTCTGACTCAGAATCATAGATTCACGGGTTGATTTTTCTTTCCTCGTTCGGCATTGAAGTAAGAAAGGTTTTAGAGAGAGAAAAAGTTTCTCTTTCTTTTTCTCTCTCTAGATATACACAGTTGATCCACAGTGATTGGCTCGTGTAATGCTGCTTCGGATGTTTTTTGTCCGGTGGACATAAGTTGGGTATAGAGTCATTGGTCTGATCTGAACAACTTTACTTCAACTCAACCGTTCGATTGGAAACTTTTCCTATAGAGTTCTCTGGCAAAGAAACCCAAAATGATGAGAATGAAGACCATGACGACAGGGCTGTCAACGATGAATGGTAGCTCAGGCGGTGCTGACAGTGGAAGAAACGCCGGAGGCGGCGGTGGCCGCGATAATGGTCGTGAGTGGGAGATGAGACCAGGAGGAATGCTGGTTCAGAAGCGAGGCCCAGATTCAGATCACAACCGTGTCCCACCACCACCCACCATTAGAGTCCGAGTCAAATACGGGTCGACTTACCACGAAATCAACATTAGCTCTCAAGCCACCTTTGGTACACAACCATCTTCAAAACTCATTCATTTATTCAATTGAAAAGTTCTTTTCTATGTTTTTTCCTTTTTCTGAATCAGTGCTTGATTTTCTGGNTCGAAAAAGAAGAATTTTTTTTTTTAATTTCTAAAAAGCACAAGCTTCTCATTTTTCACATTTGAATCATTATCCAACTAGAGCAAAGTAAGGAGGTAGAAGTGTATTTNGACAAAGAAACCCAAAATGATGAGAATGAAGACCATGACGACAGGGCTGTCAACGATAAATGGTAGCTCAGGCGGTGCTGACAGTGGAAGAAACGCCGGAGGCGGCGGCGGCCGCGATAATGGTCGTGAGTGGGAGATGAGACCAGGAGGAATGCTGGTTCAGAANTACATAATTCACGAATCTATTTTTTGACCATTTGGAATCTATTTTTTGACCACGTGGAGTTTAATATATAAATATTGAGTGTAACCGTTATATTATGTCAATATTGTTGATATGATGTAATCATCTAATACAAAAATAACAAAAATGATAAAATATGGTTTATTTCTTGTAATGAAGGNTCAAAGGATCAAGCTGAGGCAATTTGGAGTTAATGGGGCATTTTAGAATTGGAGGCATCAACGGGTCTAATTTAGAAGATAATGAATTTAACTCCATTGAGCTTAGTGAATTGGGATTTATTAATGTAATTAAAACTTCATTATTGAATGGAACTGCATAGGTATCGGCTCTTGAAACGGTCATCTCTAGAGGTGGAAAAGTTGCAGAGAACGAAATGCTGAAGCTGACTGAGTTGTTGATGAATCAATTGGTTAAATTGGATGGCATTTATACCGATGGAGATGTAAAATTGCAAAGGAAAATGCAGGTACAGTTTTGCTAGTGTGCTCCTGTGTGATTTTAAGTTCTTTAGAATTGCATATCATTTTGAACGTTACCTAATTGGGTCATTTTCTCTCTCATTGTGAAGGTGAAAAGAGTGCAAAAGTATGTTGAAACGCTTGATATGTTGAAGATCAAAAACTCCACACCAAGCAGCAATGGAAACCACATTCCAATGCAACAGCAGCAGAAGCCATCAGCAATTCAGCAGCAGCAACAACAACAACAAAAGCATTCAAATGGGCATACCCCATCACCAATTCATCAGCAGCAAGCGAGGCACTCATTCGGGATTTTGCCAACAACACCACAGCAGCATCAGCAGGTGCCACAAAGGCACTCAACATCGGGGCCGGTAGTAATAACCACGCAATGGGAAACTTTTGATTCTGCGCCAGCCCCATTGCCGGCGCAGCCTTCAACTTCCACAACTGCATCAAGTACCAATTCAATACATCCTAAATTCAATTGGGATTTGCTTTGAGTAAGTAGAAGACCAAGTATCTGTGCTAGTGTGTGAATGTGTGTCTTGGATTTTATTTTAAGTTGGTTTGGTAACAATTTTTCCATTCTTTTCTGTATCTAGAGTTTTGTTAGCTACCCCTTTATATGTCATTCACTTCAAAATAAGAGGGGTTAGTACAGTGGTGATTGATATCACCTTGTTTCTTTTCTTCTGTCCTTCTATCCTGAAGTCATTCCCCATTTGTCTTGTTTCTGTTGTATCTGTGTAGATTGTTACTTCAATTAGGTTTTTTAATGAAGCAGAACTGCATTGTTTACCCCAGAAATCTGATTTGAAGAAGGTTGAAGCCTTGTCCTGTCTCTCTTGTTAATTCAGAACGATAATACTTTTGGGTTCTTCTCGATTTTGATTAATAAAAAAAAAAAAATTTTTTTTTTTTTTGCTACAAGTGTTCAGATTTGCACCGATTACTTTCTCAAGCTCGGATACTAGATACAGNGATTTTTTTTTTTTTGCTACAAGTGTTCAGATTTGCACCGATTACTTTCTCAAGCTCGGATACTAGATACAGGATACCGGTTACCATAGCTCAAACGGGTTTAAAACATGTTCTAACAATGGTGGTTGACCCTTAAAGGGTATGAAAAGTATTGAACTTGAGACTTCTGATTTATCTAGGTTCAGCTACTAAATCATTCCTAAAGGGTTAGAAGAATAGTCTGTGGTTGATAAATGATTAATCTTTATATTATACCTTGCTTCCTATGGCGGGTACAGACTGNCTAACAATGGTGGTTGACCCTTAAAGGGTATGAAAAGTATTGAACTTGAAACTTCTAATTTATCTAGGTTCAGCTACTAAATCATTCCTAAAGGGTTAGAAGAATAGTCTGTGATTGATAAATGATTAATCTTTATATTATACCTTGCTTCCTATGGCGGGTACAGACTGACAAAAGGGGACATGATGAACATGGATTTTGTAATCTTTATGTATACTTTTTTTTTTCCAGATATGGAAACCCTCCCATATCTCTCATTTTTGTTAGGGCCACATAGCACATGGGGGTGGAATGTAGAAAAAGAATACGATTCGTTTGAAGTTACCTTCCAATGAAGGTAAACTCAGCCATGATTGTTTCCATTCATGATGTTGGGCCAGTCCCGATTCATATAAAAGATTGAATCCAGTCCTCAGATGGTCTGTTTTTGCAATATATCTTTTGATCCATTCATTGAAAGCAAGCAATGAAAACCTAATGAACTCTTGAACTACTGAAGCTTAGAGAGTCTAGCTGGGATGGGAGTAGCCGTCCAACTTTTCTTCCTTTTCCCATTAACTGAAGAGTAATGCTATAGGACTTAATTAAGGACAGAATTCAATACAGTACCCAAAGAGAGATTAAGAGAAGCCGAGAACAAGAGAATCCAACCCCAAAATAGGAGTAAATTAGAGATGTGTAATTGTTTTTGACAATTATTGACCACCATAACCCGAAAGGGCAACCTAGTGGAAATAAATATGAGTTATAAACTTAGACATTTTGAGTTTGAAACTTGACAACTCGTTTGGAACCAGACCATGAGGAGTTTTATCTCTCATACATTCTCTAATTTCGAGTAAACTTCTTTTGACCAGATCAGATAAGGGATTAATCAAAATGCATGCAAACTGGTCTAGATATCCCTGACTATGGAAAAAAAAAATTATTGACCCTAAATGTTTTTGGGATAATCAAGGCTTGTCATGGAGTTATTTGGAGGCTGGAAACAGAGTATGAACTATGAAGCACCGTTGTTTGCATGAACTTAGGCATGGCCCAGTTTATCATGCAATGGCCCCACAACTAGTGCCCTGTAGGTTGATATTGGGCTTTCATTCCCCAGCCCAGCTACATAACTGTGCTTTTCTTCAACTCCCATAAAACGGAGACCTGGGCCAATGCAGCCCACAGCTAGTGCCTGTATAATGAAATTGGGCCTACAATGCCAGCAGTCCAGCTAAATTACTGAGTTTTTAACATGGGCTATTCGTAGCCCAGTGCCCACAACTAGTTTCATATCTATCTAAACGCCCGTATGGACTGTCCAAAAGGCCAATTGTTAATGTCCACTAAGCCACTCAAGCTTCGTTTGTTTTTTTTTAATAGTTTAAAAAAGAAATTGAAATTTAGTATTAGAGAAAGTGGTACAGTATCAGAGCCTTTGCATCGAAAGTTAGGGGTGAGGTAAGCAGAAATCCTCTTTATCTAGAATTTACACAAAAGCGGAAATGCTTTTTTCAAAATAAAAGAGAATTAGACGGTAGTTTCTCTCGTTACTTAACTATATGTTACAATGACGTCGTAATTTTAGTATCTCAAGATTTTGTTGTAAGTTGTCACGTCTTCTTAAATCTATGAATCTTTTTTATACCCAACATCGGATATTAATTTATAATTTTTCGGTCTAATTAGAGTTTAATCCTTATCATAGAGTCATAACACCCCAACACGTACCCTCCAGAAAGGAAAGAAAAAAAAATTCAATGTTTTAGCCGAAGAAGAACAACTTGTATAAAAAAATTGCTTAAACCTTTTTTGACAAATAGGGCAAATATACAAATATTCAATGGAATTGTCGACACTTTTCCTCTCTAATGCATTTTGAATATTTTACTTTTCTCATTTGGAAAAAATGTTCTGCAGCCAAGTTTAACTCAAAACTATTTTCCATTCAAATTGGGTGGTACAAATTTGACTTCAATTCTCATCAAACTCAGTCCAATCCTTATAGTCACAAGTCCTCAGTATGTATCAAAATCAACCAATCAAGACTTCTCGAATTGGAAAATCTCATGGTTTACCACCTCGAAGTCTCAAATTTGAGTCTCTCACACAAGATGTTTTGATTGGCCTAATACTTGTTGTATGCGATTGATTGCATACATGCAACTCAAATTTTTATAGTCACAAGTCCAAAAAACACGCGATTGAAATCATTATTCATTATGATAAAAACCCATCAGACTTGTTTCACTAGCCACAATCCTGTTCTAAAGACAAAAGTTGGAATACCTTTATACATTCATTGAATAGAGCATAAAGATTAGCACATGAATATTGAATATGGGTGGTGGTGGGAGGAGGTTAAGTGGACTCCTGATAGGGTGCAACTTTTCATTGCTGACTATCCTTTTTTTTCAATCCATCTTTAACGTCTAAGGTCACATGAACGTCATTGTTAACTCTTGCTTGTGCATATCATATTCAATATATGAAGTCATTCAGACCGTTCAAATATGGCTACTTTATTAGTAGTGGCCAATGCAGAAACGATGATGTTTTACAAATTGCAGCATGGTGGCCTCTAGTTCCTTTAGTTATGGTACCCCAAAAAAAAAAGATAGGCTAACCTAGATTTCCTTAGGGTTGACAAAGAAGAAGAGTCAGTTAAAAAACAACTAATCTTTCTCACACTATTGGATTGGTATCGACCTAATTTATCGACTTAACAATGTGTAATAATGAAAAATTTAATTATTATCTTGACAACAATACCATTAAACTCTATTACTGTAACAGTATTAAGTCGGCATGATTGTAATGACGTGTTTTGTAATTTTGTATTGAATATTTGGTCTGCCCAAACCATGTCTCCGTAAGAGNAGCCGAAAAAAAAAAGATAGGCTAACCTAGATTTCCTTAGGGTTGACAAAGAAGAAGAGTCGGTTAAAAAACAACTAATCTTTCTCACACTACTGGATTGGTATCGACCTAATTTATCGACTTAACAATGTGTAATAATGAAAAATTTAATGATTATCTTGACAACAATACCATTAAACTCTATTACTGTAACAGTATTAAGTCGGCATGATTGTAATGACTTGTTTTGTAATTTTGTATTGAATATTTGGTCTGCCCAAACCATGTCTCCGTAAGAGGATACCACTTTCTCTGGTGCTTCCATTATTCCAACGCATATATATATATATATACGATTGCACAGGACTATTCTTTTTCTGAGTCATTACATACCTGTTCCATCAGTGGCCAACTTGTCATCATCTCTTTGACAGCGACCACATTATTATCTCCAGTAAAAGCAAAGCAAATCCATGGTCTCCTTCTGTGGATTGGGAACCGAATCACGTAAGTTAGGATGAACACTATTAGATGAGATTCATGAAGTAATTAGATTTATATTTATTTATATATAAAGGGGTCTAAATGAAATCTATTCGTTATCTAAAACTGATAATTTTATATTCGTGAAAAATTACGACTCCATGTTTTTTAAAGTAGCATTTCTACACGTTTTTTGTGAACTAAGGTCTGAACTTTTTGAGTGTAGGAGGAAAAGAATTCCTCTTCTGATTGTCTTTTTACCAATTTTGAGGAATTTCAAAAACTTTCGGTGATCCTGAACCGAACCGACTATGCCATTAAATTTGAACAGGCCAGCCAGGCCTGCTGAAAAGATAAGAGTTCAGTAAAGCACAGCATGCTCTAAAAGACTACAAACACTAAACCATTTTCAATCAAAACCTTATTCAGAGAAGGTGGGTTGGTGGGTAGTAGCATTCAGTGCATTCGATTACGTCCCTTGACTGTATCCCACGAACCCTTTCTATTTAAAGATGAAAACAGTATACCGATAAGGTTACGGTACTACAGATCAAAGCATTATGCTCAATTTTTTATATTATATCGCGAAAAAGTATTGTGTTGAATGGTTTGATTGCGCTTGCGTGTTTAGGTGACCTTTTTTATTTACTTCTTTTTATTGGATTGAAGACATTAAGAGTACAGTAGCCGGTGGTACTTAAAGGCTGTCTAAGTGCACACTTCTTTCGTCCAGGTATACCAAGGGTCAGGTATATAAATAGTCTTATTTCGTATACAAAAACCTTTTTCGTAATTAGAACTCACAATATTGAGGCAATGAGAGAACAAATTTATAATTCCCTCAAACACCCATTATAAGTAGAAGGTAGAACTTTATTCAACAATGCCACACTTCTTGCGATATTTTCT